GATGACTCTCGACTTTGTGATACATAATTTCACATAAAGAAGACTTTTAAAACACGGATTATCCTTAGAGAGAAGTGGAAGATGAGAACTAAAAATGATCTGCACTACTTGCTGCAAAGGGATTCTGTGCATAATGACTATAAGATGTTTTAAGATAAAGTGTGGTAAAGTCAAATATGCCAGCATTAATATATATCGAAGCAAATATAGATTAATCATAGTTAATAAAGTTTATATTTTTTTCTTTGCAAATCTTAATGTAACAGCTTTGATAACTCAAATATACATAGACATTCAGAGACAAGCAAACTACTAATAGCTATTATAAAAGTCAGATTAAGAACTGAGTTACAGCTAGATCCATGGTTATTTTTTAGTTTATATATTCATTTTTAGATAAAATCAATCACTGACTATGAAAATTAATACAAATTTGATATATTCTCATAAATTACTTTATTCAGTATTAAAATACTATTCATGAAATTCAAGAAGAAAAATGATTAACACTTGTGATTCTGTGAGAATGAATCTCTGCTTGATAATAACTTTCAGAAAACGTAGTAAAGGTATGTATAACTCTGGTAGCATAGTGGCTAAGACACTTGCCTGCTAACCAGACAGCTGGCGGTTCAAACCCACCAGCCACTCCTCGGAAGGAAGGTTGGGCAATCCTACTTCCGTAGTGATAACTGCCTCGGAAACCCAAGGAGGGGTCGCTATGAGTCGGGGCCGACTCGACGGCACATAACAACAACAACAACAACAGTTTTGTAGCTAAAATAAATTGTGTTGCTAAATTTATTTAAGGGTAGGACCACTTCTCTTTGAGAAGTAACCAGTGAACATATTTGGTTTGTGTGTTGTTGTTGTTACGTGCTGTTGAGTCGGATGCGACTCATAGTGACCCCTCCTTAGGTTTCCAAGGTGGTGTCACTATGGAAGTGGATTCCCCAACCTTCATTCTGAGGAGTCACTGGTGGGTTTGAACCACCAGCCTTCTGAATAGCAGTCAAGTGCCTCAGGCACTATGCTGCCAGAGTTCCTCCTGTGTATGCAGCTTTATATAATATTTCAAGAAAATGGTGAAATATGTAGTATTAAATATGCCAGAAAAAAATTAAAGAGTTTTAAAATACATATTATATTTAACGACATATTATTTATGAAAATAGTTTTAAAAACCTTTCTTAAAATGTAGTCTTTAAAATAACAAGGTTTTTTCAGTGTGTATTAATATTCCCTATGTGAATAATAATTCTTACTTCTAATTAAGCTTTGTTTCAGTGAAAGATGAATTACATTTTTAAAAAGAGATCCAGCATAATGTTAGGCCAACTCTCAGCATTTTTCCTAAGATTGCCTAGTTAACACGGTAGCATGTAAGCCACAAAAGCACAATTTACTTGAGTGTCCTGGAACCTAATTTCAGATGCAACAGATCAGTAAGGAGATTCCAAAATCACTTAGTAGCAATTATGTTTCTAAATGTCAGATTAGCCAATGTAAACGTGTTCTTTTTAGAATCAAGTATCTTATTATCTTTTCCATAATTCCTTGAGAAAACTGAGAGCTATAATTCAGTTTGTTTGGTTGGAAAATTTCTAATAATTCTTGTACGACACTGTATATGAATTTCTTCTTTTAGTAAGCTCTTTCTTCCAGATTGTACTGTTAAAAAAAGGAAAAAAGAAACTGTGTATGCAAATTTCAAAATTTCAATCTCTTCATATGCTTAATTGGTCCAATACATCTCCTTCAAAATTAAATATATATATGGGAGCTCTGTTGGCGTAGTGCCTAAGCCATTTGCCTGCTAACCAGAAGGCTGGTTGTTCAAACCCACCTGCCACTGCTCAGAAGGAAGACTGGGCAATCTATTTTATAGAATAGTGCCTCAGAAACCCAAGGAGGTATCACTATGAGTCAGGACTGAATGGACAGCAGTGAGTTTGTTTATTATTTTTTGTTTTTATACACACACACACGTATATATAATATAAGGAACTCTACTGGTGCTACTAAAGCATTTGACTACTAACTGGAAGGTTGATGGCTCAAAACCACCAGCCACTCAGCAGAAGGAAGATGAGTCAATCTACTTCCAAAAATATCTACCACCTTGGAAACCTAATGAAAGTTGCTATGAATCAGAATTGACTCAATAGCAGTGTTTGTTTTTTGTTTATATTATGTATTATATTATATATTACATATTATATATTTTATGTTATGTTATATATTACATATTATATATTTACATACATATGTATATACATGTTCTTTTGTATATATATTTATACATGTATGTGCATATACATATATGTGCATGTATATATAAATATGTGTACATATATATATCTTTAAATATGCATTCTGGTATATATATCAGAAATGATACTTAAAAAGCAGAATAAGCTAGGGCCTATGTTCTTACTAACTCAAGCAGATTGAGATAAAATCTGAATTTTGATAAATTTCATTAGTAGAATATTAAACTGTGCATACCAAAACTGAGAAAGATTTGTTATTTATTTATATTTGCAATGAATTACCAAAAATTAAACTTGGATTGAGTGTCTCTCTGCAAGTGTTCTTCAATTTCAAAGCAAGTTTTCCTCTTCTTTCAAACGTTATAGTAGAGCTGACAAGGGACAAGGTGTAGTCACTTCTTTGGCACAGTCAGCTACCCAGAGAGAGTGGGTATTTGGATGTGGGCTCAGGACCATATTCTCAGGGGACATCAAGCTCAATTGCCATATCATACTACAGAAAACATTGTTCCACCTCCTACTTTGGAGAGTAGTGACTGGGATCTTAAAAGCTTGCAAGCAGCCATCTAGATGCAGCAATGGGTCTCTCCTCATCCAGAGCAAAGAAGAATGAAGAAAACCAAAGATTATGGAAATAATTAGTCCAAGCAAGTGGTACATAATGCAATCATGCTATCCTCAGTTTATATGACTATGAAACCAGAGAATTAGATTGTGCCCAGCTACCACTGTCAACTACTCGGAGGGGGATCTATGTGGGAAATCCAAATAGAGTGGGAGAACAATGTGGAACAAAACTCAAAATCATTTGTAGAGAAAAAAGGACCAGGTTTGCTGGTCTGATAAAGCCTGATGGAACCACTGAGACTACGGCCCCTAGCTGCCCTTCAGGTCTGGAATTGAACCCACACCTATGGCTTCCAGCCAAACAAGAGACAGGCATATGAGCTGAACATTTACACTAGGTAGATACACTCCTTGGAGAGAACAATCATGGGAGAATAGAAGGGCTGTGTATGCTCAGGGACATAGCTTAGGGGGCAGGTGTGCCTGCAGGGAAGGACACAGGGAAGAGGTAACTATGGGGAGGAAGTGGGAGAGGAGCTGTTGCTTTGTGGGGAATTGCAGTCAATGTCATGAGACAAAGTGTATGTGAACTTTATAGGGAAAGTGAATTTGCTCTATAAACTTTCACCCAAATCACAATAATAAATAAGTAAATAAATAGATAGATAGATAAATAGATAAATAAAGATGAATTAAATAATTGTAGCTATTGTATTTTAAAAACTAGATTTGCTCTAACAAAATATAATGGACAACCTATATCTGTTCATATTCACTAGATATTGCTGTTACTACCAGTGTGTCATAAGAATAGACGTTACTTAACATTTACACTTAATGTGTGTGTGTGTGGGGGGGTGAGGATTAGAAGTTTGATCATAGCCTTATGTTACAAAAACTTGTGCCATATTTGGCAAGGCAATTTGTGATGAAAAAACAAAAACAAAAGCAAAAAAAACACAACTATTGACTTAGTAACTCTATTTTAGAATATATAATTTGGTTAGCATTTTTCTTCCTCCTCAAAATGAGACTAGGAAAGAGAAGAGAAGGTAGGTTGGTGAAAGGGAAGGAATGGAGTTTGTGGAAGAGACTGCATTGATCATACCATGAATTTCATACAAATTTAAAGCCTTCACTCTCCTCACTTACCCTCCAAGTAAAATATTATTGACTATACTGAAGGATAAAAGGACAATGATTCCACCTTTCCATATCAATTTTAAATAAGAGTAGTCATCTGTGATCTTTTTAACCTGATTAAGTCAGAACAAAGCCAAAATGAAAGATTCACTCATAAAGTAAGATTGTCTGTGAATGTCAGCTGAAAATGAAAGGGCAATTTTCATATTTGTGCAGCATTGAAAGATAATATCCCAGGCATCCCTCATAATAATGGACAATTGTTAATTGTCATGGTCAATTTTTAAAGACTATCTGAAAATATAAAAAGAAAGTCAGATCCAGATTTTGAACAGTGTTTTAAATAGTTCAGCCTAACTTTCAGGATGAATGTGTTCATTGGTTTATTAAAAATACAATAGTTAACTTAAAAATTTAAAGGTCTGAGAATTATTGTAATGTACCAAACTATCTTATAAAGGCAGCTGATAGAATTTCACTTAATTGCTATTTAGTCAGTGAACCTCAGTCTTTCCTCCTTTAACTTCCCAAATAAATTGTATTCCTTTAGAGTCGATTTATGTTTCCCAGCATAATGATGCATTTTACCCATTCAGCTACGTTAGTGTTCTCTGAAGCCAGCCAGCAATGATCTCACCTCACCTACAATATAAATCTATCAGTGAATAAACAACATCATTTGTATTTCAATGTCGATGACACACTACATGTCAATTTGGCATTTAAATAATTTATCTCTTTTTGGGGTATAAGCTGCCAGGCTTATTATAATTCTACTTGTGAGACTCATTTCATGTTTAATGGTTATTTGCTTCATGTGGATGCCTGTCAATCAATTAAATTGAAATGTCATTCTGACCGTTTATTGGAAACAATTTACTCTTTCTTATTTCATCATAGGCTTTTTTCCTTTTGATTCAAATTAAAAGCTTTAATTACTAGCATTCAGAAACTTTATCCTAATTAATTTTAAAAAACTACATGCTCATCAGAATTACTGACATTTTATCTTTACAGAGGTTATCCAATTGAGTCTTCCTGAAGATCAGAAACTAAGCAGTATTGCAGTGACTGTGGGACAAAGTGCTGTTCTGAGCTGTGCCATTCAAGGAGCCTTGAGACCCCCCATCATCTGGAAAAGGAACAATATTATTCTAAATAATTTAGATTTGGAAGACATCAATGTGAGTACATAAATATATATTGCATTTTTAATTTGTATGTTTCACCTGATGCACTCCAGATTCTATGAAGTATGGGAAGCATAATGAATATTGGCTATAGAATAGAAGATAATACATTGGAATAATAGCATAATCATTTTAATGGCTGAAAGAAGCCCTACAGATCATTTAAAATTACATAAACTATGTGTAATGATTTTTTCAGCAGTTTATGTGACAATGTGTTGGTGAGGGAATAAATTTTTGCAAACTCTTAGATAGGATGTCTACTAAATTTTAAAATGCAAATCCTCTAGCCTTAGCAAATTTACATTGAAGAATTATTTCTATAGATATACTTATATCTGAATTAAATATATATGTATAACATTTTTCACCTTCACAATGATTAGAAAAGTAAATATATATATATATATATTAGAATACCATCAATGGAACATATGATTGTGTGTGTGTGTGTTTGTGCATGTATGTTTGTGTAATAAAATCCTGTATTGCCATTAAAATCAAAGAAGGAGATTTATACTTGCTAATTTAAAATATTGTGATATTCATATGTGCTGATAGTATTATCTAAGCACATATAAATGTCACATTTTTTATAGAAGTATGTATAAATCCCCTTAGTATTATCTCCACTACTAGTGGGTCAACTTGTCCTACTGTGGTGGTTGTATGTTGCTGTGGTACTGAAGGCTATTCCACTGGAATTTTAAATACCAGCAGGATCACTCAGGTTGGACAGATTTTAGTGGAGACAGACTAGGAAGAAGGAAGAGACAGACTATTTTTGAAAAAACTCAGTCACTGAAAACCTTATGAATAGTGGTGGAATATTGTCCGATACAGTGCCGAAAGATGAACCCCTCAGGATGGAAAGCACACAAAAGATGACTAGGGAGAGCTGCCTCCTCAAAGCAGAGATGATCTTAATGATTTAGATGGAACAAAGTTTTCAGGACTTTAATTTGCTGGCATGACTCAAAATAAGAAACAGCTGCAAACATCCATTAATAATCAGGACTTAGAATATACAAACTATGAATCTAGGCAAATTGGAAATTGTCAAAAATAAAGTGGAACGCATGAAAAAAGCAAAGACCTACTGATCAGCACTTACTGATGAAGATCATACACGCTTCAGTGTGAATTACATCTCAACGAGAAGATAAAAATCCAACGATTGGACCAATAAATAACATAATGATAAATGGAGAAAAGATTGAAGTTGTCAAAGATTTCATTTTCCTTAGATTCATAATCAATGCCAATGGAAGCAGCAGTCAAAAAATCAAATGATATTGCATTGGAGAAATTCACTGCAAAAGACTTCCTTAAAATGTTAAAGAGCAAAGATGTCAATTTGAAGACTAAGTTGAGCCTGACCTAAGCTGTGGTATTTTCAATAGGCTCATCAGAATATGAAAGCTGGACAATGAATATGGAAGACTCCAAAAATATCTGTGCATTTGAATTATGATGTGGGTGGAGAATATTGATATACTATGGACTGCCAGAAGAAGGAAAAAATTTGTCCTGTAAGAGGCACATCTGGAATTTTTCTTGGAAGTACGAATGTCCAGACTTCATCTCTCTCAGTTTGGTCATGTTATCAGGAGGGACATTCCATGAAGAAGAATATCTTGCATGGTAAATTAGAGGGTTAGCAAAAAAGGGAAAACACTAAATGAGATGGATTAACATTGCAATGATGGGCTCAAGCATAGCAACAATTGTGTGAATGACACAGGAATGGATAGTGATTCATTCTGTTGTACATGGGGTTAAAACTGACTTAACAGCACCTCACAGTAATGTATGAAATGTTCTCAGTAATCAAAATAGCAATAATAATAATAATAATAATAATAATAATAATGCACATATATACAAAAAACCAAACTCACTGCCATACAGTTCATTCTAACTCATAGCAATACCCTTTGGGTTTCTGAAGCAATAAATCTTTATGGAAGTAGATTGCTCAGTCTCGGTGGATTTGAACTGCCAGTCTTCTTGTTAGCAGTCAAATGCCTTAAGCATTATGCACCAGAGCTCCTAATATATATATATATATGTGTGCAATTTCCAGAAGCATATCCATGTAATAGTTTAGTGTTCATTCTGTTGTTGTTGTTGTGTGCCGTCAAGTCAGCCCTGACTCATAGCGACCCCTCCTTGGGTTTCTGAGGCAGTATCACTACGGAAGTAGGATTGCCCAACCTTCCTTCTGAGTGTTCATTCTAAGGAGGGAGAAATCAATCAGGGATGAAATGTAGACTTAGTTCCAAGTGAAAACCATTTGCAATTTTTGTATTTTTATATGTATATATTAGTTTTTACTAAGAGAATTAAAACAAAAAAAAAAACACAAACTCACTGCCATCAAGTCAGATCTGACTCATAGCCACCGTTCCTTGGGTTCCCAAAGTGGTATTACTATGGAAGTAGATTGCCCAACCTTCCTTTCAAGAAGTGGCTGGTGGGTTTGAACCACCAGCCTTCTGGTAGCAGTCAAATGCTGTAGGCACTATACTGCCAGAGCTCCTAACTAAGAGAATAGTTTTTGAAAATAACATTGTGTGGTTTTTTGTTGAAACTATTTATTTGGGATTATTTTCTGGAAGTCTCACAAATACAACTTAAAATGCTAAGGAAAATGGGACTGTTGAAAATTTCCTGCATAAGTTGGGTTCAAGAATACTTAGATTTCAGGATTTTTAAACATGTTGTTAAATGTTTCCTCTCCATCTGCTGGATTTATTTTTAGATAAGTGTTCTCCATGTTGTGGTCACTACCAAATCCAAATACATATTAGAACTCTTGATCTTAGAAGAAGTCCTATATCCTTTAGAACCTATAGAACACATCCTAGGAAAGAGTCAGTTTTATACAACTAGAGTTGCATGACTTTCATTGAAGTAATTATTTAGTCTAACAACATAATATACTGATTGGCTAAGCTAGAGGGATGTGTCCCTTAAGCCAAGCAGGGGCTACCCAACTCAACAGATCTGAATTATTACTGAATGGTTGCTGAGTAGTTTCCCAATAGATGGGTATGATAGGAAAAAGGGAAGAAAGGAAAGAAAAACAAAACAAAACAAAAAGTTATACTAGTATTGGTTAATTGTCACTGGAAATCAAGATTGTTGCCCAATGTCTGTGACTGTCAGAATCACCAACAGTTTGTCTGAAAGTATTTTTTTTTTTAAAGGTTGAGTACCAACCTATAGTTCTCTGGAGTGTTAGAAGAGGGTAAGGGCAGTTTTTGCTTCAAATACTTCATATGTGTTAGAAACAGGAAAATATTACGGGAAGAAATAAATGTTTTATTTTTCTGGAATTAAGCATCAAGTTTTTCCACTCAGATTCATTGCTAGCAATTCAATATCTCATCCCAATTCAATAGGGTAAATCTCCAAAAGTGAAATAAAAGCATGAGCAAAGAAACTTCAGGATATTCATCTGTTCCTTCCATCCTTCTTGAGGGTTAAAGTTGAACATCATCCTTCTAGATGGAAAGAAGTAAAAAAAAAAAAAAAAAAATCATGTGGTTATTGGGTATCTCTGGATATGCTATTGTTATGTTTTTGTTAGGTACAATTGAGTCAGTTCTTACTCATAGCAACCCCATGTGCAACAGAACAAAGCACGGCCTGGTCCTGCACCATTCTCACAATTGTCGCTGTGTTTCAGCCCATTATTGCAGTCACTGTCTCTATCCAGCTCATTGAGCATCTTCCTCCTTTTCTCAGATCTTGTACTTTACCAAACATGATTACTTCTCCAAAGATTGATCCATTCTGATAACAAAGTACATGAAAAATATTGCTATCCTTGCTTCTAAGGAGCATTTTGTTCATAACCCTCCCAAGACAGATTTGTTCATTCTTCTGGAAGGTCATGGTATTTTCAATATTCTTTGCCAACATCATAATTCAAATGCTCCAACTCATATTCAGTTGTAATTCATTGCCCAGTTTTTGCATGCATACCAAACCAAAAAAAACAAACTCACTGCCACCTAGTCGATTTGACTCATAGAGATCCCTCCTTGGGTTTCTGGGGAAGTTTCTCTATGAAAGTAGAGATATAATCTTCCTTCAGAGGAGTGGATGTTGGGTTTGAACCTATAGCCTTCTGATTATCAGTCAGATGTCTTAGGCACTGCATCACCAAATAGGAGGCTATTAAAAATACCATTGCTTAGGTCAGGCCTCAAAGTGACATCTTTGCTTTTTGACACTTTAAAGAGGTATTTAGCACCAGATTTGCCCAGTGCAAAAGTCACTTGATTTCATGACTGTTGCTTCTATGGGCACTGGTTGTGAATGCAAGAAAAATGAAATCTATGGCAACTACAATATTTTCTCCTTTTATCATGAAGTTGCTTATTTGTCCAGTTGTGAGGGTATGAGGAGTTGCAATTCCACTTTTGTTTTACTGATTTTGAGGTTTTATTATCTATTTGCATATAACCTCAGTTATTATTTATTATTATCTCTGTGGTGTAGTGAATTACTTGGCTTTTCTAGCCATAGTCTTTGTAACTTCCGCTGGATTACTGGGTGGGACCATACAAATAAAGTGTGTAGGACTTTGAGGTTAGGATTGGTAGTTTTGTTCCTGGGCCAGGCTTAAAATGAGCCTTCCTAGAGACAGAGGAGGGGATCTCACTTGGAGATGAAGTAGAGTGCGTCCTTGGACCTGAGATCCCTGTGCTGGACCTCCTTGGCAAAGGTGCCCTGCAGAGAGAAATGCCTGGGAGAGAGATTGTAGCAGTGGAACCAAGAGGCACAAGACAGAGCGGCAGGCTTTCTAGCCCGTGGGGCAAGAGAGCTGTGTCCCCTTGGGCAGGAAACCTGCTGGTTGAGTGGGGTGCACATAGGTGTACCTATTGGCAGAATTAAAAGAGCTTTATAACACTTGCCAAAGCAGGGCAGAGTCCAGGCCAAGAGGCCAAGGGTCACAGAGGCGTGTCTGAGGGCACAGCAGA